ATAAGGTATTGGCTCATTGAGAGAATGATACAAAGAAGTGGTTCACAGAAGCAAACAGATTTGATATAAAAAATGGGTTAGGAAAGAAGAAAAGGATGTATCTTTTCAGACCCAATCATGCTCAGAGAAATCTAAAAAGTACAATTTAAAGACAAAACTAAAGATAGAGCTTGTCAATTTTAACACAAAAAAAAATTCACAGTGGGTTTTGTATATACCGGAACTTCTGTAAACTTATATTTTTAAAATTCCTTGCACTTAGACACCCCCAAAACTATACCTATAAAACTACTCTAAGTAAATGACAACTTCAGATAAAAAAAGAAGCGATAAAACTTGAAAGCGAAATAGATAAGATCTAATTGCAGTCACTGAAAAGCAGCAATTTTAGAGTCAAGAAGTGAACAATTTGATTTCTGCTCACCAGCATGGCACATATGTTGGATATTTTGTCTAAAGAAAATAAAGTCAAAATTTATAATAAATAGCAAATATAAGGAGATTTGCTATGATCTTTTCTTTAGTTAATTGTTGTATTAACATGGAAGTGTCCATGGAGGAGAAAAAAAGGTAGCAAGTGAAAAGCAGAGAAAGGGGTCTTAGAAGGAATCACTCAGAAAAAAAGAACAGGCACTTGTCCTTCACTCTGCTACTACCTCAAGCTTCTGTCCCATCTCTTTCCCTGTTAAATATCTTGAGAGGATATCTGCATCAGCTTCAGCTTCCTTATGACAAAATCACTCATTGCTGGTATGCTTAGATCTCCATTTAAATTGTTGGGGAGATGGCCTATATTCTGAAGGTATCAATCTACTTTGCACCCCAACTTTACAGCTGGGTAGAAAATACTCAGGTCAAATCACAAACCAAGAGAATAAGAGGGGTGCCAGAGAGCCATTAGCAATAACCTTTCCAAAACATTACTGTTGTTCAGGGTCTGATGAAAAATGAACATTTTTGGGGTGAGAAGCTGTGGTGACACAGAAGCCATTTCAGCATCAGCCTGGTATGATACTTTTTCAAGGTCAGTGAGAAAGGTGAATTAAGTGAAACCTGCTCTTTAGAACTGTTGTGAGAAACAAATGTCAGGCATAATTCCTGACATAATACCAAAACCTGGTAGCTTTTGCCCAGGTTTACAGTTTCATGTTTTAACCCATAAAAGGAGTGGGGGTGGGGGGGGTTTGTTCTAAAACTAGGCTGCCATTTTTGTATTAGACACACAGTAACCAATGAAACAATAAATTCCTTTGCAATAGTTTACAACAATGTGCTCCCAGCTGCTGGGCATGTGGATCTACCAACTCGATAGTCGATCAGCCACAATCAAGTTAAGATTTATTGAAAAGGAGGAGCCACCTCATTGGACAGGATGGACATGCATGCTTTGTTAAAGAACTCGAGATTATAACAGGTATACCTTTTATACTTGCAAACATGCTGTCACCATGTTCCTGAAAAAGTTTGGTAGCAGTGAAGACTCTCAAGTAGTTACAGGTGAAATACAGAGTTCTGCCCAACGTGGAAGCTATAACTTCCTAACAGGATCTCAGTTCTCTAAATCTGAAAGTAACATCAGGTTGGCCCAATCCCAAACAGGGGACTCTGTCTTCAACCTTTAATTCTGTAAACCTCCTTCTTTCACTACCACTGTGATTTTTAAAAAATCCTCAAATCCTTAGCCAATTTTAATTTCAATCTTAAAATAGAAGTGTAGAATGAAAAAAAAAATGAGAAGGACCAACAGTATGTTTGATAGTGGGCCAAGGAAATATGTAAAGATAGAAGGGATAAAGGAGGAGAAGTGACGTCCAGAATCAAGATGGGCCACAATTTAAACACTTTAAATTGAACTCAATTCACTTTTTCTCCATGACTCTACTTCCATTTGAAAATAACTATTCTTCACAGACCTCGGACTTCTGATACTTTGTAAACAATACTTCTACATTAGCAGTATATTTAAAATAGTGTGTAAGACAAATCTCTTAAGAAGTTACAATTAAATTTAAACATAATTTAAAGCTTTCATTTAAAAATATATGCAAATAACTGTGAGAGATAACCCAAAAAACACTGTAAGATTGGGCTGATTCAGCTGAACTGTATTGTGAGTTAGATGAATTATAATTTACTGGATAATTTATTCTTAGAAGCAAAGGAAAAATTCTATTCCTAATCATCATGCTCTGTTCTACTACACACAGTCCAAGCCCGGTTGGAGGAAAGTGGCATTTAAAGTTATTTTCATCCCTTCTCATTGTAGAGTTTTTGACAAGACCATTACACAGACATAAGGGACTGGATAGTCAGGGGGACAGTGGGAAGGGGGAAGAGACTACTTGGAAATACAGACATGAATACGGGAAAAGAGAGAAATAAATCTAAGCAGATATTATGGCTCTGAGACATGTAACTGTCTAAATGCATATATAACCATTTCTTCTAGAAATTACATTTCAGAAACGTTCTATATATTTTATGCAACCTGAAGTACCTAAAATGGTACCTAGTGTAAGTTAGGAAAAAAAATATAATGAATGTTGACAAATATAGGAGAAAGTAAAATATAGACAAATGGCAAATTGTTGAGGAAAAATGAGGTTTCTGATGGACATATGCTCTTTTACTAATTACCTAATGATTTCATACACAATGTTTGCTTGGAATGATTCATTATGCAAAAGTGCAAAGGTTCTAGAGTCTGAGAAAACAAGCTCTATCCCCTAAAGATCAGGCAATTACAGCACAGCTGGTATGATAATTTCATTAATAATAACTTGTAATCCAGTATATTGGTGCTGCTAATGCCAAATTACAATCAGTCACAAATACTTCTTCAGTTTACTAAATAGAGAATGTATTATTTAATTTCTGCTTTATTTTAATTGCATTTTGTTCCATGAGTTAGAAAGTAGAGCAAAATCTATAGTCTTGGAACACTTCCCACGTATTATGTAATTACTGATATACTGTATAAGAACCAGTGACTTTGTGGCTTGAGAGGCATAATAGAAGAGTTAAGATGATATTGTATGAAGTATAATCCAAAGCTCCAAAAAACTATTTCACATCAAAAGAAATACTGCTAATCTCAGCTGGGAGAGGAAAATCATGTAACAGACAACTAAGACCCCAGAGAAGGTCTCATGAAAACAGATCCTAACTTCAGGTTTTACAGCTTTACAAAAATAAATCTATTGTTACATTGCTGAGAGATAATTCGGCCAATTTCAGAACTCTAACGTGAATATTTCGAACTACATGGAGTGGAAGAAGAAACCCTCCCGCGCATCCATCAGTTTAGTCCCATTTTATTGGCTTGTCAGGTATTTATCAGCAACTTTAAATCCAAGAATTACGGGAACTCAAGATACTTGGCATCTTTGGGCTCGTGGACTACTTTTCCTATTCCTAAGTATCTCCAGGGTACAAAGACTGTCATTTCATTTGGTAATCCATTACGGTGCTCAGCTACCTATCTGTCAACAAGTCTACTTTATTTCTTTCCTACCTATGTTAGAAGATCTCGATACAATCCTATTTTATTTTCCCAGATGAGCAAACCTGGTGATGTAACAATATTTCTTTTTTAGTTCTTTATTCACCAGACTTGTTTTTATTAACCACAGAGGAAAACTGAGCTAATTCTAAAAATGACTTTTATGTACCTCCCTGTCTTTAAGCACAAGGGGAATTTTCTTCAACCTTTCAGTTCTGCCTTGAGATACAGATTTTAAATCCCTCTTTGGTTGTGTCAATTCATGTGTGCAAAGGTGTTTAGGTTTTGAGGGAGAAAAGTTTAGATTTCTTCAGAGAAGAAACCATAATTTTCCCTAGTCCATATACTTTAAGTATTCCCTCAAAACACATGAAATTGTATCTCATTAATATTTATATCTGATCTACCTAAAATATACAAAAGAAGGGGATTAATCTGATTTGACATAAAGCAGGCAACAGGTAGCCACTTTTGCAGGATAATTACAGGAACTTTTTCAGCAAATCCTACTCAGAATTTGATCCTGAAAACAACTACAGCTCGGCCATACTAGTTTTCCACTTCGCCATTCCCTGTCCTTATAGGAGAGCTAATGGAATGAAGTCTCACATCAGCGTGGAAAATTAGAGGTACATTTTCCCCACCATCTTTAGGACCTCACTTAAAATTGGAAAGGTTTCTCAACAAGAGTAACATTGTCATCTTGGGCAGAATAATCCTTCGTTGTGCTTCAATGTCCCGAGCAGCGCAGGATGTTTAGCACTCCAGCCCCTGCCCCACAAATGTCCACAGGATCCCAGGTATTGAGACCACTGAATATGCCCCCATACTCTTTAAAAACCCCCTCTGGACTACTGTGTTGCCCTTGATGAATGCTGAGATCCAACCAAGTCATGCTGATAATTTTAAAAGCTTTCCTAATAAAAAAGGGGAGAAGCTGATAGTCTTTAAAAAAATATGCTGAACAAAGCATATTTCTAAATTTAACAAAATCAATAAAAAATTATATTGCCGGAGTATTACAGGTAGTTTTATTTTCATTTGGTCCGTCCTATCAGTAAAGAATAGTATCTGCTTATCAGGTGACTGGAAGGATTGCACAGTCTCGGAGTCTAAACCTGTTGCAGACACAGGGAACAGAAAAACTAGACTCAGCCAGCAGTTTGTGCTCAAGGAAAGCTTAACATTTCTAATTAGAATCCTGGAAAGCAGGTTGAAGACCATGTGTAACAATTTTTTAAAGGCTTGGCTACACCTTTTAGGGCAAATATACAAACTGAAATGCCAAAGGACAGAGGCTTAGGAGAATTAGAAAGGAAAGAAGGGAGAGGGAAGGGAGGCAAGGACCAAAATAATCTTGGAAAGCAACCTGAAATTCTAACTCCCTATTGCCTCAATTCTAAATGCAATTACATATCTGAAGGGAGTTGCAGAAGCTCAGCAGGAAGGTCGGTTGAGATTCTGACCAGACTGCAGGAAGGTACAGGTCACATCTAACCTTTGCTGGTTTTAGTCGGTTCTGAGGCTGTGTTTCCAGTCTTCTTCTTTTTTCTTGGGATAGGTACACATTTCCTGTCAAATGTAACAGGACTATATTGAGGAAGGCTGTTGAATTTTTTTTCGAATTCTTCATCCAGTTTTGCAGAGCTATTGAAAGGGGAGAGGGGAATCAATAAGCACATGACTAAAACATTTGAATAGAAAATGAGATATATTTTAAGATACTCCATCCGAAAACAGGGTCTCTGGAAATTAGGACACTTTAAGTAAATTCTGAGAAAGGAAAATAACAGTGTTTCAGAAATGCTTGAGAAGATTAATCAACACAGTTTTAGTAAACTCACATGACCGGTTACGTTATTACCTTAGAACAGTAGAACCGTTTAAAACACTAGAATATTTTTGAAGTGGGGAGTTTGCCATTTTCTCCATCAGCAGGGGAGTTTTTCATAAAGTTTGGTATAAAGCATACTCTATTCATATAGTTTCTCATTTTAAAGACTTATACACATGTAAACACATTGGCTAGCCTATTAGTAATATGATATATTGCTAGTTTTATAAGATTAGTTTCTTTGAAAAATACTTACTGATTAGGGTTTGATTAAAACATACACACCCAAATAAAAAGCAAACAAATTTTGAATATTAGAAAAACATTCTGGGGAATTGACTAGGATGAGGATAAAATACTCAATGAGCAAAGCAGCAAGGCAGCTTTCAATGAACATATGGGCCCAGAGGCAGCACCGCTTTAACTTAAACCACAAATTGCTTTAGAAATGGTACCAGCACAGTTGGGAAATCCTTGGGCTGGTTTTGATGTCTCTAAGGCCACCACAGCAATGGCAGCATGCCTGCTGGATTCTAGGCTGGCTGCTGCTTTCATCTGGTGAGACTTATTAACTAAGATGCAACCCAGACAGACAGGATAGGCTGCAGGAGAACTGCTGTGCTTGGTAGATGGAAAATGGAAGGTGTATTGGAAAGAGGAGAGCAACTTTAGTGTCAGCTTAGAAGAAGCTATTAAATAATATGTTAGGCTGCAAACTAAGAGATATTCTACTACAGATGTTTTGTAACTAAACTGTTCTCAGTTTTGAGGAATGTACGAGAGCTGGAAAGCAGAGATAAGACAGTTAGATGACCATTAGAATGGTCAACAGAAAATGGCCATTCCAGTAGGCCCTCCTTATCTGAGAGGGATATACCCCAAGATCCCCAGTGGATGCCTGAAAATGAGTATAGTACCGAACCCTATATATACCATGTTTTTTCCTGTACATACATACTGTGCAGTGTGGATATGCTGGACAAAAGGATGATTTATGTCCTGGGTAGGATGGAGCGGACAGCATGAGATTTTATTATGGTACTCAGAATGGCGTGCAATTTAAAACTTAAGAATAGTTTATTTCCGGAATTTTCCAATTAACATATTTGGACCAAAACCATAGAAAGGGAAATCACTACTGTACTAAGTTCTCTCAAAGCAGTGGAGGGTAATAGGTTGGAGTGATGCTTCTCCCTTAATAAAATCATCTTCTGCATTCAGTTAAAAGAATGTTTATACTGATAGAAAATCAGATGCTATCTGACACTAATTAGATACTATCAGAAAGCTGTCTATAAGTTATGAATTTTTCAGATACTCTGAATAACCAAAAGAAAACTGAAAATGTGAGATGTAATTCACAGGGTCTCCTGAGACTGTTTTCTTTTAAATGAGAACAATAATAATCATTTATGTTCTGCTCGGAAAAGTCTACGAAATTAGAACTGCCAATACTAAGTGAATTTTTCTTGGCTACAGTTTAACAGGTAGCACATTTCCTGAGATAAAAGGTTTAAAACGCTCATCTACAAATCTCAGAGAAGACTGATAGGACCTGGCATTTCTCCCTGTGCAAGCACTTTATTGGCATATTCTAAACAAGGCAAACCCAAATAGTCTGATCCTGAAAGGCCAATATTTAAAGGGAAAGGAGAAAAAGCCACTGAAGTTTCCCTTTGATTTAAACCTGTGAAAAATCATGCTTCCAGTTAGACACATGTAGTTTCTTCAGATACGATTTAAAAACAAATACACGCGATCCACTCACCAATCTTTTTTCAGGGACAGATTTTCAAAAGATTGTTTCACTTATCTTATTCCTCAAAGAAGATTGGTAAAATCTCTCTCTCACAGCATCAGCAGTTTCTGATGGAAGCATCACAGGAATTTCTGTGGGGGAACCTCAATGCTTGCTTTATTCCCCTACGACTTCACTTGTCTACAGCGAGACCTGATCACCGTGTGGCGTGTAGACCCACAAGGCACTGGCAGCTCTTCTAGAAGACATACAGCATTGGTCTAGATGCTCGAGGGCACTCTTTTAGGATAATCTATGTTTGAAATTATCATTTGAAAATGACAAATGTGAGGATTTTCATGTCATTACTTAAGCATAATGTAAGAAAAACTAATTTGAAGTACTTTGGACTTTTAAAAATATTAGAAATAAAATATGTAAAATTATATCATTTCAATATAAATAATCTTGAGGAGCCAGCACTATAGAAAATAATTTCTACCCTTCCTCTTTATAATGGTTGAGAGTCTTAGAATTAGCCAGACTTTAAAGCACTGTAACTTCCAAGGAAAAATACAGAAATGCAAGTATTATTAATAAACCGAATACAATATACCCAATGCATAAAATCTGCATACCTTTAAGCACACTTATGAAGAAATATGGAGAATATTAAAATGTACTTATTTCTATTCAATAGATTCTTTTCAAATTGGGCCAATGAGAATTCACAAAGCATTTTTAAAACAGCATAACTGAATATGCAGATACTTTCCTCACCAATATAAAGTATTGGATCTCTAAACTTAATAACAAAATGCTTTATATTAAGATTGTTATTAAGAGTCTTTGGCATAACATTAAATATAAAATAATTCTTAACAATTTTTATCCTGATGAATGCCATTCCTTAGTTCCGCATTTCAATATATAATTAATATATTGAATGTTCTATGGTACCAGAATATTCAGCCTAATATTTTTATCTTAGAGCAACAGAACACAGTTTATAAAAAAAAGGTTAGCCTAAGCATAATTTTATTTACCTCACATTTTTCAGCTGTCATATTATTTTCTAAACATATGTACATACATTTAGAAATATTAAGTACACAAAGCACAATGGGCAAAATATAAACATACTAATAATATCCATTCTAAGCTTCAGATGAGAAAACACATCCCCTTAATATTAAAGGATTTGCAATGTCACAACACTACTACATGGTGGACATTGATTCAAACCTAGGCCTAAGTCTAAAATCTACATATTTTCTATCATACTTAAAATGTGAGTGATATTGTCACTCACATGACTGTGTTAACAGCAGGAATCATGCGATACACTGCTTGATTTGTGTTCAGTAGAGTGCTTGCTAAGGCCATAGCAAGTGCGGAATGAACAAAGAGTGAGCTTGCTTAGTGATTTATGTTCACCTTGACAATCCTACCCACGCCTGAGGTCTGTGCAGTGCAGCTGACTGCTCACAGGCACTTACCCAAGGAGAGAGTCTTCCTTTGGCTTTGTCTTCTTGAACTTCTTGCTTCCACTGGTCCCACTCTGGTTAAATGTCCAGCTTTCTTCACTCCAACACCCTTCATGATCAGAGGAGTTTCCTTTTCCTGAGCTTCGTTTTCCTAAGAAAATTTAAGAGAAAGGATGTGCTCAGTACATGCTGGGGTTGGGGGGATGTATCATCTTAGTTGCTTAACAAGCGACCCCTTGACTCCTTACATATCATTTGCATGATGCTATCTGCAACTGTTTCGGAGTCCTCAGAATGATTTATGCTGGACCACCTTTAACAATGTAACATGCAGAAAAATGACTTATAGCCTCTGAGATAAGCTGTTTTGTCATAATTCAACAGGTATCACAAGACTCAAGAAACAGACTAACTACTACTAGCTTTTCCATTTGAGAACCAGCCTAAGGTATGGGTGGCATTGCTGGTAGACATTATTTCTAATTTCCCTAAGACTCGCTGGAATGACATCCCTAGAGAACTATGTATTCCCAACTATCTTAGTTCAGGACTTGTCAGACCTAGGACTCACACATCTCTTGTTGTAATATAGCTTGGGAAGAGGTATTCCTCTAGCTAGATGCTATATTTTAAAATAGATGAATTTATATGAAATACTCTGGAATACAGGTGTATACATTAACAAGTTTCTGGATGTTGTCATGTTTTAAAGAGCTTTTCATTGCAGTTATAGTTTTGATAAGCTAATGGGGAGGCCTAGATAAAGTATTTGCTTCTAAAGCTGATACATTTAGATCCTGACAAACATACCTGCTTGATTTTGGAAATTCTATCAAAAGTTAAAGAACAAAAGTTCTAAACATTCAATACTAATCCTTCAAAACAAAAAGTTAGCCCATATCAGTGGGGGCAGGGAGGGAAAGGTTTGAATTACTTTAAGTACTTGTATCTTGAGAACTACCTACAAAATGAATACAAACTCTCCTTAACAGTGCTAGAAAACATGTAGGTAAAATGACAAATGGTTACTATAATCTACAAACCACAAAGAACTGCATGAATGTTAACATATTATTTTGACACCATATTGTTCTTTATGGGCGGTTGTTTTCAAAGGTCTAAAGGAGGAATTCTGCTGTTTTCATATTCTTTTCAGGTTTGTAGAAGTCACTCACCTCTGTCAACGTTGGCTCGCAGAGAGGTGAGCATGCCCTCGGACACCAGGGTTTTATAAAGAGCACCTTTGCAAGACCTCTCGGATTTCCTGGAGCCACAAGTCTCTATCTTTCTATGACAGTCACTGTCCTCAGGCTTGGTCTGTCCCGATAGGCTGGGTGGTAGTGCATCCTCCGTGGGAGCCAACAGTTCTGCTTTTATACCCTCTGGCACTTCACCAGAAATGTTCTTGCTGGCAGAAATACTAATGTAATCTGGAGGTCTTAACTCTTTGGTGGTGTCTGAGGATTTCTCCTTTGACATTTTCTTCTCTCTTGATTTCACTTTTTTCTTTGGTGGCTTGGCATCCAAAATGCTTCCCTTGCCACTTGAGGATGTGCGAACCTTCTTGCGAGGGGTTTCTCCAAGTTTCTCAATGCCCCAGTCTCCTTTTGCAACGGCTTCAATGGTGTATATGACGCTCTCGATGTCAGACTCTGAAGACTGCCTCTTTTTGCAAGTCTTCTTGGGTGTGGATTTATCATTTCCATGTCGATCCATTTTGCTTTTCTTCTTTTTCTTTTTTAGTTTTTCTGGTTTGTTTAATGCCGTGGGATCCTCAATTATCATAATTCCATGAGGATGGCACATGTGATCCTTTCTACTGGGAACATCACTTATTATTATCTTGCTACTGGCAGAGTATGAAAAATCAGGGAAGTGACTACATTTTTGATCTTCTAATTCTTCCTTTCTAATTTCTTTGGGATCTTCCATTTTTATAGCCATTATATCATCCATTTGTAGCTCATCAAAATTTCTTAATTCCTTAGAATCTCTTATATTTTCCTTAGCTGATTTTTCAAATTCTGCTTCCTTCTGTAACCTGACTTCATCTGTTTTCTCCATTTTTATTTCTCTTTCTTCCTTTCCCTTCTCTAATTCTTTAATTCGTCCACCATTTGATTCTTTTGCTTTTATTAGCTTTGATTCTTCCATTTTCACCCCCTCTGATGCCAGGCACATCTAAACAATTGAAACAAAAATGGGAGAACACCAAAAAAGTCCTTTTTATTCCATGTTCAAAATTGAAGTGTTTTATTCCTTTTAAAAAATAATCAAAACAAACTTTAAAAGTTTACAATAATCAGCCCACTTCTGCCAAACTAGCTTAAATGATTCAAATTGATAGAAGCCTATAGGCGCTGTGGTATAGTCATTTAACTCTAATCAAACATACATCTGAATTATCACTTTCCAGCTTCATTAGAAGCATTTCCTATGGAAACGAGATCTAGCAGAAGGAAGATGGGATCCAGAGTTTAAAGACCCAAGCCTGAGTCTTAGTTTTCCTGGTTTTTCACTTTGTGAACCAGAATGAGTCATTTCACTCCTCACTCCGCTATGGCTTTTGTAAAATGTAAATAATCCTATCTCAGAGGATTTTGCAAGGTCCAAGTGGGATGATGCACTTATGGTAGTATATGTTAAGTATCCCCTATCCAAAATGTTTGGGACTCTGAAGTGTTTCAAATTTTGGAATTGTTTTGGATTTTGGAACATGTGCATTATATACTTACTGGTTGAGCAAGCCTAAAGCAAAAATCTGAAATCCAAATGCTTCAATGAACATTTCCTTTGAGTGTCTTGGTGATGCACAGAAAGTTTCAGATTTTGGAGCATATTGGATTTTTGGATTATGGATGCTCAACCCATACTTAGTTAATAATCCCAAAACTCTATTCAGATGTTTGCCATGTCTTTTTTCCAGGGGTAATGAGGAAAATAAAAATTCTTACCTATCCACTTAAAACTCGAGATAATATGATTCATTAAACAACTAAAGAAGGTTTCTATTCATTAAAAAAACCATTATAGGTCCACAAATGCTGACAGACAATTCCAAAACCACAAAAACTCCAAGAACAAAGTTTTGTTTTTATTTTTGTTTTCCTAACTCATTTGGTGGCAAATTTTATCTGGTCTACTTACTTGGCTGCAAATTCTAACTTGAATCAACCTGAAACTGTTTGACTTCTTAAAAAGGTTTATTTCGGTTACTGTGACTATTTACATGTTTTTGTTATCAAAATATTCATACATTTGAATATGTACTGGGGAAATTGCATAGTGTAAGATACATCTACTGTATCATTTTTCTAAAATCTGAAAAACTCTGAATATCAAAACATGTGTGGTCTCAATTTGGTTAAGTTTTTAAATTATTCACCAAAACTTCCCAAATTTCACATATAGAACATTCAAGGGGAAAATTGCCATCTTCTTCCCTGGCTCCCAGATACCCTGAAACTTTAATATAGAGCTATTTTTTTCAGAAGGGGATATTGCAGCTTTTTGCAAAAATTTTTTTCAATGCCTGAAGTTTTCATTCATAAACACATAACTTGCAAGGCTCCAAAATGCCAGCCCCATGGAGGATACTAAAGATACAAAAATTAATAAGGTCAGGAATTTGAGGGATTTATCAAGAGCCCAATGATACTAACTTAGTCAAGGGCAGCACCAGAAGTCTTAGCCATAATTTATTTTATCTACTTTGTACTAGCAACTTAGAGGGGAAAGACTGGTAGGGGCTTGCTAAGTCAATACAAAATCAAGCATGAATAGGAAACATCTGTTTTTTTTTAAAGTCAACATCTTATTAAATGGCATGTTGTCAGAGATAATCAACATCTGCAAAATTAATTTTTTAAATGAGTACATTGAATTAAATATCAGATGTTCTTTTGCCCCTTTTTTCTTAGTATTTCCAATGCATCACAAATCTTTCTGTGAGAATTATGTTACGATTAGTAAGTCTTAGGAAGAAACTCAAGAAGGGGAAGGGGAGGCAGACACTGAAATTTTTAAAAAATGAACATGATAAGAGCACCCAGCCCTTCAGAGCTCTCACAGAGAAGAAATGAAATAAGGATTCACAATGCAGCTGTCTTTTTCAGGAACTCAGGTAAGCAAACTTTTACAGTTCAGCAAGTGGCTACAAAGACTGACAACTTTCCTTTATTAAACATAACCAGAAATAAGCCCAAAGCAAAATACTATCTTTATTTTGAAACATCGACACACTTAATCTTCCCTGCATGTTTTACTCTTATGGGAGAATGTACTGTTTTTATATCAATTTTGAAATAAGTTTTATTTTCGTTTCTCAATTATTCTAGCCCTTCATGAATAACTACTCCATGTGAGGACAGAAATTATACCAGTTCTAGAAAGAAGGCTAGGAAGGCATTCTCAAAGTAAATTTTAAGATATTTCAATCACTCTCACTCTGGTGGCCTTTAATAGGTCACTTCAGGGACCTTTTACCATATAGGGGCTGGTTTACACAGGTTCATCTTAGCAAACCTAATAATACTTTGCAAACTCTATTCTCCGCTTCAATATATTTCAAAATGATTCTCCTCATCACCCCAATAGGATTCTATAGCTAGGCATGAAATGGAACAAATGCAGACATTCACTCTGGGGACATATTCTGGGAAATAGCATAATATTTCTTGTGTAGGTAATTACACTGAACACTAGTCATGCTTTATTTCCTTGTTTCAGGCTCTTAAAAAAGTTTTTTTCACAGACTATGTTAATCCTAAATTATAAGAAAAACAATTATATTGCTGAAAGTGAAACTATAAAAGTAAAACATAATTCTCAATTAAAAACTACACATCACAAATTTACCCACTAACCAAAAACCAAATCAGACTCTCATCAGAGTTGGGTGTCACTCTAGAGCTGTGGTCAAACACCCAGCCACTGCGGACCAGTAGTGGCCCACAGCCTCTTAGGGACCAGGGACTGGCGCATAGCTCCACACTCCCCTCCACCCCAACCCAGGGCGCACAGCAGGAGTTGAGCAGTGGGCGAGCAACTGAAGCTTCAACTGTATTTACTGTCTTTCATGAAACTGGTCCCTGGTGTCAAAAAGGTTGGAGACCACTGCTCTAGAGGTTATTTAATTTAACCTTCTCTTCCCAATGCAGTAATTCATTTTACTACAGTATTCCTGAAAGTGAGTTATCCAACTTTTGTGCAAAGACAGTGAGCATATTCCTGTATTAGAGGGCCATTCTATTTGAATTTTTTTTAACATTGAGCCAACACTGATCATCCTATTAGTCTTAATTCTGTTCTTTGAAGCCATGTAAATTAATTCACTCTTTCTCATGACAGACTTTCAGGTCCTTGAAGATAGACTTTATGTTCCCATAGGTCTCTCCTCAGCTCCCCTAATAGCTCATCACATGTAAAGGCTTCCAACATATCAAAAGTTGGGTCCCTCTTATCGAGATGCAGTAAGGTGTCCTGAAGTGAGAATGGGCCTTATTGAAAGGAACTGGGATCATGAACAAGCACCCTAGCTTGCCTAAATCCACACAATGGCTATACAACTTAGACTTGAACCCATCTGAGGAAACAGAGGCTGAGAAATGGAGTTAACAGTACATCCTATTCTGGGGCAGTTGTGAGGCAAAAGTGAACAAATGTGTGCAAACAGATGTGTAAAGCATACACATATAGCTATAAAGCTCTACAAGGGTTGGGGAAAATGGATACTTCGATTTAGCAGCATCTTTCTTAGATTTTGTTCCTGGCCTTCATGTAATGTATTAATACTAGAAGAGAAGTGGAACTTTGTCAGTTGATAGGGATGCTAGGTATCTTTTACTGGGACCCAAAGATGAGTTCTTTTTCTTTTTTAGATAGGTCATGCTTCTGGCGACCTGACTTATAGTCAATTAAAATCCTGGATTTCTTTACTCACAATGTATGCTGGGAAGCTTGATCTCTTCAATTACATGTTTTTATGATTTATTTACCTTTTGTAGCTAGATAGAAGACTTTCCATTTTTCTTTATAAAGTTAACCCTTTCAAAATTTGAATTAAATTATCTTTTACCTTCGTGTTATATACACACTTGATAAAGCTGCCTTTTATATCTTTGTCCAAATCTTTGGTCATAATGTTGAGTAGGACGTGGCCAACGACAGAGCCTTTTGGCAAACTTCTGGAGCCCTTTCATCAGGTTGATTTGAACATTAATGAACTTCAGCAATCTAAGAATGTTTTATAATCCAGTCTAAATCCCTCCCATTTTGTTCACAAGGACATCGTAAGAGTATCTGTCAAAAGTCTTGCTAAAATCTGGATACAGGGTGCTGACAGCATTCTCTTAAGCCTATTTTACAACCAACCATAACCATACCAAATAGAAAATGAGGTTGGCTTGTGTACCAGTCAGGGTCTAACTGGGCAAACAGAAACAAAGTGTAACTAACAGAGGGAATTTAATGCAGGGAATAGGTTATACAAGTCATGAAGTACTGAGACACCCAAATAGGAATGAGGCAAGCCAGGGATTAGCAACAGCAGGAAGCCAAAGTAGAAACAAATGAGAGAAAGAGTGTTACTAAAGCCCAGAGGCCAGGTCCCCAGTGGAAGATGGAAGCATGGGAGGCCTATCTGGAGAGAGCTGCAACATGGAAGAGATGCATCCTTTGTTTTACCCCAATGCCTCCTCACCCTTTCCCTGCATACCCTGTTCTTCCTCCCATCCCCGAATCTCCTGCCAGTATCTCTGACCCGCTGAACCCAGGTAGAAGCCGGGGACACAGGACCTGAGGAAAGGCAGTCTGCGGCCATCTGGGATGTAAGGCGGCGAGCAGGACAAACAGACTCCGGACGACACATCTGACAATGACCTTTTTCAGAGAAACTTTAATAATTCCTTGTTTTTATCCTTTTTTTCTGAGTTCAAACATTATATTATTAGAATAATTTTCAAAAATTTCTAGAAATTAATAGTCTACATTTTAGAAATCAGGCTTATTCTTTTTAAAAATTAGAATGTTTTTGTCTTTTTGTTCCTATTGAGTTCTCCTATTTCGCACAACTTGTCAAAGATTCTCAAAAGTGAGACTGAAATCTCATTTGCTAGGTTTTTTAGTATCCTCCAATCTGTTCTTTTTTCTGCTGTTGGAAACCTGAACTAATATACTAAGAC